TACCATAGATATTTTTCATTTACTCAATTATCAATCATATTACTGCACAAAGCGCTTCAAACTTCATGATGTGTTGCTTGTCTTGACTCCACCCCTTAATTAGTGTATTAATGTACAATGTACAACAAATTACATTAATGTATTGATGTACAACAAATTAATATACAAGAATGCCAATAATGATACTCTAAACACAGCTGTACTGTATTGTCATTATACAGTACTAATTATGTCTGTATATACATGTATACCTGTTTTGCTTTGAAGAGATGATCGTAAATGATCTATTTCCATTTGCATTGCTTTTGTCATCTTCTTTTTAATGTCTTCCTTCTCAGACTCTAAATAATAAAAATGAACCAATTAAATAATTAGGAACAATTCAGCTACATGATATATTTATTCTAAATTCATGTGCATGACAATATTCATAGTTATAGTATACTACGTGGGCATAACAAAGGCCCCACCAGTACATCATATTGCATAACATCACTATTATCACTAGGTATACTGTTCTGATAGTTACCCACAATGGGTGTGACTTTAAGGATAAAAAAAAATCAATTTTATAGATGGTACAACATTTAATGAAAATCCAGAGGCTTTCTCTAGTAAACTTTCGCTCTTTATGGGTAACAGAAATGGGTTTTCTTGTTTTGCTTTCTTGCTGTCCCTTAACTTCTCACTAGGACCAGCATCTAGTGTTCTCTTCTCACTTTCTTCTCAAAATGGAAGCACGTGGTCATGTGGTTTAGGCCAGTTCCTTTGGTACGCCCCCTAGTAACCATAAATCAATTAAAGCACGGGAAGCACGTGCTGTACGGGATATAACAGCACTCAGGGTGGGGTCTCCACAGCACTCAGGGTGGGATCTCCACAGCACTCAGGGTGGGATCTCCACAGCACTCGGCGCTTTGCGCCTCGCGCTATATTGCTATCTCAATCCCACCCATTGTGCTGTTATATCCTGCACAGCACTGCTTCCAGTACTTTAAGTAATACTTATCATGTCTCAAAACATGAATGTCATTATACCTGATGATTCTGTTGATGGATTATTGCTTTCATCAACTTCTCTACCTTCATATGAGATACCTTTAAATTATCAATAATTATAATTAATAATAATTAATATATACCTAATGTGTCTATTGTATCCTTCAATTTAGCATTCTCCTCAAGTAAATCATCTCTTTCACTCTCTATTATCTCCAGTTTCTTCATTAGACTCTTCACCTCCTTTCAAATATTAAAGTATACTATTAATTTATATACACATACATTCACTAACCACATCAATTGCATGTTCATCATACACAGTATAGTAACCAATAGTTAAACTAATCAATCCCATCTCTTTTAG